GTCCAGCAGTCTGATGTTGGTTGTGTAGGTTCATCTGCGCTGCTGGTCGACACAGCTTGTACAGCCGTTTGTCTTTTTTTCCTACCCGACCGCCCTAAAATTGGTTGCTGTCCGTGGTTCGGATGCACACCGTCCCAACAGTATCAGAAAAGGACGCTTGTTCTAAGTGAGTGCGAGATTGCAGAGAGTAGGATCCCTCCATCCACTCCTTCAGAAAATGCAGAAATGCTAATTAGGTGGGTTGAGGTCTTTGTTGTGTCAGTGCACGTGTGCAGGTAATGCGGAGGGAACCGGAGGGGCGAAAAGAGGGATCCGATAGAATCTCTGCTAGGGAGGGTGTGTCCTTGTATGTCTTTGCAGTGTCCGGGAGTGGTGGCATGCAGATGTTGTCGTGTGTTGCGAGGCAGGCTAGGCCAGGGAGTCTCTGGGGAGTGCGGAGTGCCTGGATAGTGCGGCATGTTTATACTTGCAGCTGTGTGTCTGAAGCACAGTGATTGTGGTTGTACCGGTGTGTAGACCGGGAGCAGCACGGGAGCCGCCCTGATTTTCGATCTCCCGCCCGCCCTTGCCCGATCAAAAATCTGGGCAGGGGTCACCGTTTGTCAGCGTCAGGCTGATGGGGGATACATTTCTGTCAGCGTGCGGCTGATGCGTCGTTTGTCAGCTCTTAAGCTGATGTCCCATGCTGGCTAAGCAACTGTTTTAGCCATGTGGTCAGTGTACTGTAGATTCTGGCAGTACTTACCACCACCTTCAAAAGGAGAGAGCGTCGCTTGCTGTGGTCGTGCTTGGTTTCTCGTCAGGGGGTTGCTTCTCCGGGACTGATGTGCCTGTTGTGTTCTGAGTTCAGGGTCAGGGTTCGATAGGATCCCGGCATGGGAGAGCGTTCGTGCCGCGTGCCGCAGTTTGTCGCCCCTGTGTGTTGCGATCTTGTAACATGGCCAGCTAATGACAGGGCCCGATGTTGCCTTGCCTAGCTTTACATGTACTTGGAGCATCTTTGTGTTGGCTCTGCGCTCATAAGAGCAGGGTACAAGTAGCGGAAATCTCGGCCACTCCTTCAGAAAATGCTAGCTGGGTTGAGGTCTTTGTTGTGTCAGTGCACGTGTGCACGTAATGACATGGGAAAGCGTTCGTGCCGCGTGCCGCAGTTTGTCGCCCGTGTGTGTTGCGATCTTGTAACATGGCCAGCTAATGACAGGGCCGGATGTTGCCTTGCCTAACTTTACATGTACTTGGAGCATGTTGGCTCTGCGCTCATAAGAGCATGGTACAAGTAGCGGAAATCTCTGACCTTCCCGAACCCACCCAGGGAGAGATGACGTGCGCACGGTTGCAAAGCCAAGATGCTGGTCCGAAGAAGCCTGCTTCAACTTGTTGACGTCGCTTTATTGCGCGCTGTCCAGACTGAAAGTAAAACCTACTATGCCTGTGCGCGCTTGTGGTTTTGCGTCGGCAGCTGCGTGCCGCATTGTGTCGCGCTGTTGTGATTGCCGTGCAGCACGTGTCCAAGATGCATGATGACGCATGTTGATGCATGTCCAGGCCAGCAGGTGTTAGAGAATGCTCGAGCGGTTGCCTGTGTGGCTGAACACTTGGTGTCTTCTTGTTTTGCCCCGCCCACCCGCCCTTGAAGTGGTGGGGGGTGGTGGTGTGATGTGGCGTGTACCTTCCCTCATTCTGAAATGGACAACCCGTGCCGGGCATGGGCAATCCGATAGATCATTTTCCGTCCGCGCTGCCCCAGTCCTGCAGCGAGAGCAAAAATGAAGAGATCGTTACAAGACCTCTGTGCGCACCAAGTAAAATGAAGGTGGCAGTCCGCGTGCTTCTGTTCTACGTAAGAATCCCCGCTCGATGCAAAAACAGTGAGAATGCATGTGCCGGGGGGTTTTGGCCCGCCCGCCCTATGGGTGCTGGGTGAGCTGATGCTCTATTGGTTTGCTCCAGCAAGAAAGAGCCGCTGCCTATGTGTATCTATGTGTAGCAGTTAGACTAGGGACCCAAAGCACATAAGCATAAGCATTTTATGGGGATATCCCTACCTTATCGGGCTTCATAATAAGGGGATTTATATGGGATATCCCTATCCTTATTTTTGCTTATGTGCTTTTTGGTGCCCTATTAGCATAGATTAGGGTTGCCGCGTGCGTAGGAAGGGAGGCGCAAATGCTGCCAGCCTGTAGTAATTATATGTTATGTAGCTATAGTCGTCTGCGACTCCGGGTGTCTGCCTTGTTTTATAGGATCCCGTTCTGATTTTGTTTCGGCTGGTCAGGACATCGTACTGCGTGTGCCGGCGGAGTCAGAAGACGTTCTACAGCAAGACATGAGGCAGCTTCTGAAGGCGGTGTTGCAGAAACCACTGGTACGCGGGCTTGTAAGTCTTGTAATTTTGTCTTGCGTGTCTGCGCAGTCTGAGCTGGAAAAAGCCCGCGGCCATGCTGCTACTGAGCAAACTGCGATGCAGACCTTGTAAGGGGCCCATGGTTCTTTTGGATTCGATGACGTCGGGTCAAGGCACCGGTTTTTGTGAAGGATGCATGCGGAAAAAGCGGCGCTGCGGCATCTGACATGACCTCAGCGGTCCTCGTGCAGCGGGCTTGTAGGTGGTTGTGTTGTGGCGTCGGGGAAGAATTGAGGCGGGATGCAGGTAGTGTCGCAATGTGTGAAGCATATTTGCGGTGGCTGCACGAACTGCACCAAGTACAAGTGCCCAGTGTTCGTGGTTAGCTAGTTTGCGCATCTTTGCGCAGCAGTGGTGGTGTGACTGCTCTATGGTTTATGCCTATGTCTATGTTGGCAAGGGTGGCCGATGCTTTTGCTCCTCTGCTTGCGAAGGTGCGTCCTCCACGAGGGAGACAGAGCGAGTCACTGTTGTCAGCTTAGGTGATGTCCTTGCGTTCGCATCTAGGTCGAAAGCAGAAGGTGAGATCATGGCTGTGCAGACCTCGGCCTGTTTGGTCTTGAGACTTGGAACGACTGGGCTTCCAAGATGTAGCCAGCAGCGGACTGTGCCGGCGGACAACGTGTTGCAAATCTCCACGTGTTGTTGAGGCCTTATTGCGCGTGGCCCGTGTTGAAAGCAAACCTCGCGAGATGCACGCGTGCGTGCAGTAAAGTGGATCTAGAGGGACGTCTGCGGTGGGGTAGGATGGGATGTGGCCACCGCATATGCGGAACCCAGGTTGGGTCGGGTCGTGCTGGGGTGGGTTGGGCTTATGGCCAGCGCGTGCCACTAACCCTATTTTCAGACCCAAGAACTCTGCCACCAGTTGGGTTTGGATCGACTCTATCACCGCCTCTCAAAATGAAGAAGACCGCAGGAGAAGGTTCGTCACTGCTGCTTTCCCTGACCTGGTAGAGGGTTGGGGGGTTGGGGTTTCTAGTGGTGCGTTTTGTGTCGGGTGTAGCGGTTCGGCTGGGTTTGGCAATACACCCGTCTCTCACATGTACATGCAGTGCTGTAGGGTGTGTTGATGCCAGCAGTGCTTGGATGTTGTGTGTCGGTGTTGAGTACACAGCTTCGGTGCTGGCACATTCGCTGTGATCCAGGCTTCTTCTCCCGGCTCTTTGGTGCAATGGCGTCGGCTCTTCCTCGTCGTGGACTGCCAGGCTGCGATTCGGGCGATCCAGAGCAACAGCGGCTTCGACTACGCGTTCTTGCTCGACACTATTCGTGGTTACCTCAAGAAGCTTCGCGACGGCCAGCTCGAGGCCATGTTCATCTGGACGCCGTCGCATGACAAAAAGCTTGGGTGGACCCCGCCGCTTGGGCTTTCGGCCGCTCGGCTCAGGGCCCCCAACGAGGCGGCGGACAAGGCGGCTGCAGCTTCCATGGGGCAGCGGTGGAGTGGCTCCAGAAGGCATGCGCATGCCCAGGGAGCTCGCAATGCACAACTTTGGGAATGTCAGGCTTTGCGGTCTACGGCTAGGATCGGCAAGGCGTACCATGACTACCTGCAGACCTTGGGCACCCACCCGGGAGCGCAATGATGGCTGAGTGCTTCCACTCCGTGGTGGCACTTCTTCGTCTACTTCCTCGTGGCGACGACTAGCTCTAGTTGTGACTGCTTTGCGTGCCATCGTACAGTTGTCCATACTGGCAGTGCTTGTTCTACCGTCTTCTCAACGTGAGTTGCGGTGTTCTGACGAGACGACTCGTGCCTAGTTGGACCTTCTTGGCCAGCGAGGTTGGCATTTTATCCGACCAATGACACTAAGGAGCAGGCGGCTGCAAGTTTTGCAGAGTGGTCCCCGGTGGCCTTGCAGGCTGCCTTAGAGGACTGCGATGTCGAGACTGCCTGGGCTTTGCTTTCTGATAGTGCCGAGGACGCCCTGTGTGATCCTGATGAGTGTGCAGTTAGGCGGTCTGAGCACTGGCATCCCCATGCCCCGAGCCTTACCCCTAAATCCAGCAAGAGGCCCGAGCGCTCCCCAGGCTTGCGAGCTCTGCTCCGTCTCCACTCTCGCCTTCAGACTGCAGTGGCGTCGCCACACCACCGACAACTCCAGCAGTGCATTTGGAAGTCTTTGCGAGGTGTGCGTCAGCTGGTGCCCGAGCTGCCTTACTTCACCGTGATCGATCAAGCCATGCTGACTGTTGTGTCGGACCTGGTTACAGCTTACGTGGATGCCGAGCGGAAAGCCTCCAAGGCACAGTGGAGACACCGCGTCCGTAGTGACATCACGGCGGCCCGAAGCTACATCAAGAAGCGGACGGACGCCGTCCTTCAATGGGAACACGAGCAAGCCAGTGCCATGGCCCCGCGGACTGGCCGACACCCTGCTGTTGATCGTCAGGCCGCCATCTGGCATCAAACCTGACGCTCCCGACCTGGCTCTCGAGCTGCCCTTGACCCGATCTTGGCGGCTACCCCGAGGCCAGAAAGCACCGACGCTGTGTTTGATATCACAGCGGCGGCGCTGAAGGCCGCGACAGGCACCATGCATGCCAAAGCTCCTGGCCCAGACTCGTGCCTGCGTCAGCTCTGGTCTTGATGCCAGACTCTTGGTGGGAGTGCGCCGCAGCCCTCTGGCGCTGCGTCTTGCAAACCGGCCGCATCCCTCGTGCCTGGACCCGCGGACGGACCAGCCTCCTCTGGAAAGCCTCCGGCAAATCGCGCCCGATAACAGTGCTCCCCATTCTTTGGCGGGCCGGAGCCAAGTTGATCAATGAGCAGCTGTCAGGATGGTGCATGTCGTGGCGCACCGCTCGAGACACAGGCGGTTTGCCGGGAACCAGTGTGGCTGCAGCTTTACAACAACTCCATTTTGAGACCCAGCAAGGCTTCCGAGCCGTCGCTCAACAAGACATCGCCAGCTTTTTCGACAGCCTGGAGTATGGCGCTACTGAGGCAATCTTGACCCATCTCAAGGCGCCTCCGGAGCTCGTCCGCCTTTTCACGAGCGCATGCGCGCAATCTCAACGCATTTTTGCGCTGGAAGGAGCGCTAAGCAAAGACTGGTATCGACCTACCAGAGGACTTCCTCAGGGTTGTCCTCTCAGCCCGCTAATAGCGGCGGCCGTCACACACGTGTGGGCATGCCACGTCCTTGGCGTCGAGGATCAAGTCGACAGGCCCATCACAGGCTACGGCTATGTCGATGACCGGGTCCTGCTGCTCAGGCGTCATGGATCCTTCCAGGACCTCGCTCTGGCTGTGGAGCGTTCGAACCAGTTTGACCGGGCCATGCAACTTGAGGTTTCGTTGCCCAAATGTGCCATAATTGCTGAGGCGTCGTGTCAGGAGGCTGCTGCTCTTGCTAGGACTCTCGGCTACAAGCACCTGCAGGATCTGGAAACCTCAGGTGTGGTGGTCCCTCAGCACGGCCCTTGGCGGCTCCTGAAGTTCTCACTTCGCAAACTGCAGGTTCGGCTTCAACTTCTTCGATCTCTAGGGCTGCCTAACAGAACGATTGGGCTCCTGCTGCGCTCGCTAATTGTGCCATGCTTCACGTGGGCTGCTGCCTACGCTGCACCGGACGCGGCGGAGCTGACTGCCATCAGACAGGAGATCAACCACATGACTGCTCGATTCTCCACTTTTGGTTGTGCGAGGGTGCTGCTTCATGAGACGATTGGGTGGTTCTTGGACCCCCAATTCTGCTTGGATGTGGCCACCCTGCGGGCCTACTGGCGCTCTGTCGTGCAGCCGATGGATTGGACTGAGGCCCTTCCTCTGTCGGAGCTGCAAGGCTATGTGATCAAGGCACTGCCCATGCTGGAGCCGACGCTGCAACGCTTGCAGTGGGCACTCTCTGCCGACACTAAGGTGCTTCAATGTTGGGATGTTGAGGGTTCCCTTAGGTTGCTGCATGTGGGTTACGAGTCTTTCCAGGTCCTGCTGCAATGGCTCAGGCACCACTACCGTCGACTCTATGTGGGTCGTGCAGGCCGCGTGTGGCGACCCAACCGCAGGACTGATGATGATGCTGCGTTGCGCAGTTATTTCACGTGACTGCGACTCTCTCTATCTCGCGCGAACGTCTTCTATATAGTTGTGTGTGCACAGCTGTCCAGCAGTCCGATCGTGTTTGTGTGGTTAGAGTTGGGCTGCTGTCGACAGCTTGTGCAGCCAGTTGATTTCATTTTCCCACCCGCCCGCCCTTAAAGGAGGGTGGAGTGGGACTGCTGTCCCTGGAGCCTGGAGGCGTGGGACTGCGACTTCCACCGCCCTCGCGTGACGCTCAATTCGCTTTCGGAGGCCACCGTGAGTGCTTCCGGGCTGCGGGCAGTGACCGAGAGTTGCTCCTCGCCTCCATTGGCGCGGGGGCTTCCAATTGGCACTACAATGCAGGCGGCAACTTTAACAGCGATCATGCTCGACATAAGTGTGCGTGTGGTGGCACCCACCCCAGCAGGCCTCACCTCGCGTGGTCATGTACGCATTTTCAGGCGATGCGGGCCGACATTCAGCCCCCGGCTCACACTGCTCAGGAGCGACTCTTCGCCATGGAGGTGCGGCAGCTCCGCCGGCCATCGACCTTCAGGATTTCAAGGAGCACCTCGTGGAGCTCCTCGGCACCTTCGCAGACGAGCAGGACCTCTTCGTAGCCACGGACGGCTCCAGCAAGGATGGCGTGGGCTCCTCGGGCATTGCTGTTCAGCATCCTGACTCGGTAGCTGCTTTCGGCGATGGGCTGGAGGATCAGAGCCCGTACAGGATGGAGGTTCTCGCGCTTGCGTTGGCCCTCGGGGCGATTGACATTGCACGGCGGGCTCCCAAGGTACGGTGGCGTCGGGTCTACCTCGTCGTCGACTGCCAGGCGGCGATTCGGGCGATCCAGGGCGAGCAGGGCTTCGACTACGCTCTCCTGCTCGACACGATTCGGCGTTACATCAAGAAGTTTCGCGACGGCAAGTTGGAAGTCGAGTTTGTCTGGACACCGTCCCAAAGCGGCACAGGCATCGATGGAACGACGTTGGACGGGCTCTCACCGGCGTGCCTATGCACAACGAGCACGTCATGCACAACAGTGGGAAACTCAGGCTTTGAAGGCCATCGCAACCATCGCCAAGGCCTACCGAGACTACTTGCACACCCTGGGCACACCATCGGGTGAACCTTGATGACTGGCTGTCATTTGTCAGTGTTGTGGGACGACCTCATCTGAGTCTGCTTGTTCAGCTTGGGCTTCAGTTTCTCGCGAGGTTTTGTACAGCACTTTTCACAAAGAGTGGTAATGCCAGGCACGTCGGACTCATTCAGCATCCGTGCAGGCGCCACCCCTAGTTTATCGCAGCCGCAGCCGTCTAGTTGCTGCGAGTTTCGTTTGTGTTCCACTCAAGTGGCACTGATAAGTTGAACCGAGCTTTGTTGGACCTTCTGGCCAACTTTGACAGACCTACGTCCGTCCACTGAAAAGGAGAGACAGCCACTTCGTCGCGCGTTGTGCTGAGCATTTGTGACCATGACCATGATACGCTGTGCGTGTCTTTTTGTTACACTTGTGTCTGCGCGGGCCTCGGCTGTCCCAGTGCTGGGATTAGATCTTCCCCGCGAGGTAAGTGCCTGTGAGAACTTGTGTTGGCCGATTGCCTGCGACTCGTTGTCGCTCTGCTCAGCTCATCATGGATGTCAACAAGGAAGCTCAGACGGCGGGTGTGTTCATTGTTGCTGGTGTACCTGCAAATCAGTTTTGCGAGGCTCCGTATCCCATCGTAAACGTAATCGCAGAGCCGCCGGCAATGCAGCCCCGGTCGCTGTCACCGCGTCTGCGCGGCGTGGTTGCCCCTGGTGGATCGTCTGACAAGGAACTGTCCAACGAGCTTGCCGACACGGCCCGCCTCACAGACTCATGGAAGAAGAGTCAGTAGCAGTAAGCAAGAGCAGCTTCGAAGCAAGGCAACATCACGTTTTGCAGCTCATGTGCTGCAGTGATACTGTAGAAATTGTGTGGGACAAGGAGTTTAGGGTCTAGAGTCTTTGTCAGGTCTTGATGATCTGCCTGACCTGAGTGGGGTCTGTGCGTACAGAACTACATGCTACAGTGCTACGGGTGTCTGCCATGACTGGCAGAGGGACGAGCAGGGGAGCGCACTGCTTTCACGGAGAGCAAGTTTCGCTGCGGTTTTGTTTGTATACATAGAATATATAATTATAGGCTTCGGGAGAAGAAATGAGAAATGCATTCAGCGCGGCAACACGGCAACACTGCATATAGGATTCAGACTGGGTCCAGCATCCTCTTTTTCGCTCGCTCCCTTTAAAGGGATCAATAAGCTGCACATATTCGTGAGTCCATGGGTGTGGCTCGCTGGCCCTCCAGTGGACGTCCTAATTCGAGGTTGCGCCATATACGTGGACGCCCCCAGTCCTTCCGGGAATGCCTCCAGCAGACCCGTTCTTCGTGTTTACTCGAGCATGTTGTTTTACAATTCTGTTGTAGCGCATGGAATGATTTGTCTGCGCATTCTAGCCGCGAAGCTGCTCGAGCACGGAGTGGGATTTTTGAATTGCATCCTGACATGTGGCTTTTGCTTGCTTTTACTTGACGACGCATGAGTCTTTCAGCCGTTGCATAAATAGTGAGCACGTAGGCGTTGCAAGTTTGGCATTCTCTGTCTTTTCTAGGGCGGTAGGCCGTGCAGTCCGTGCCCCGGGGGGCCGGCAGATGGCTCCTGGTTCGGATCCTGAGAGTGTGCTCCATGTGCAGCTTTTGCAGGTGACGCATGCGATCGTTCCCGCGAGGTGCACGCGTGCGTGTATCTAAGTGGGAAGTATGTGCGTAGCTGATGCCTGGTCTTGCGCTTGTGTGTATTTGTGCAAGTGCTTGAACACCTGCGGACATGTTACATGTTTGCTGTTGCTCTGCAAGCATGTGGCTCTGCCTGCAAGGCTCATAGGTGTTGCGCAGTTATTTCACGTGACTGCGACTCTCTCTATCTCGCGCGAACGTCTTCTATATAGTTGTGTGTGCACAGCTGTCCAGCAGTCCGATCGTGTTTGTGTGGTTAGAGGTGGGCTGCTGTCGACAGCTTGTGCAGCCAGTTGATTTCATTTTCTCAGTTCTTCGTGTACCTGGTGAACCACTTCGGTGCAAAGTGGTCCGCGTATTGGTGGAGCAGGCTAGGTGCTCTCCTGATGAGGATATTCCACTTCGTTCTCCGCCATCCACACGTTGGCGTCGTGTACGTGGATGACTTCCTATTTCTACTACCACGTCATGCGTGCTTGCCCTTGATAGCGATCTTAATCGCTCTTGCGCAGGTTCTCAATGTGCCACTGTCTTGGAGAAAGCTGCGTCTGGGTTTGTCGTTGGAGTATCTGGGCTGGGCTCTAAGTGTGGACGGTGTCTTCAAAGCCAAAATTTTGGAATGCAAAAAGACGCGGATTTTGGCTGCCTTGAACTGGTGGCTGCAGCATCCGAAAAAGATTGGGAGGAAAGAACTGTCCGGGATTTTGGGCCTGCTTATCTGGGCTACCCAGATTAGGCTGCCTCTGCGCGCTTTTCTAGCCCCTCTATTCACAGCGCTTCATCGTCCAACTGGAAAGCTACAGCTTTTACATCCGGGGCAATTAGCAGAGCTCGCTGGACTTCTTGACAGGACCTCTTTGCGTGTGTGTAAGTCGGCTCAGGGCTCAGACGTGCAGGCTGGTTGGATGCTGCGTGAAGTTGGAGGCCGGGCTGTGAGCCGGGAATGCTTGGATGCCGCGCTGAAGCAACCGAAGCTCAAAAATGGGAAGTGCTGGTTGCGCTTCCACTCCTGGGGCCCTACTACAAATCTGGACGCGGCTTGCTTGTCCAGCATTCGAATTCTCAAGCACTTCTTCAGCCAGAACTCGTTTGGTTGGGCACATTCTCATGAGGTCCTCAATGGCTTTGCGGATGCTTGGGCTAGTAGCTGTCTAGCGGGAATTGGCGGCTGGTTTCAAGCAGCGTCTGGTAAGCGCCATTGGTTTCATTTGGGACTTAAGCGTGAGGATATTCCTGAGGAGTGGATGTGGCCTCAGCGTATGCAGGCTGGCATTGGTTCCCTTGAGATGGTGGCCCAACTGGCACTCATGATCGCACGGGCCAAAGTCTGCAGCCTGCCATGTGCGTACCGGGCGGTGCTGCGACAATACAGTGATAACATGGGAGTGGTGGCATCGGTTTCCAAAGGTTTGGCCAGCAAGCCACCGATGTGCTGTGCGCTGGTCACGCTTTGCTTTGCCTGTCTGCGGATGAAATGCGACCTCTCACTTTCGCACATCGCCGGGGCGGGTAATGTGGAAGCTGACTACCTCAGTCGCATGAATTGCGCTTCGCAGCCTTTGGACCAAGCTATCGAATCTGCCTTTCCGAACCATAACAGAGTGGAGATCAGTGTCAAGGATGTGTTTGGGCCATGGAGAGACTTCATGTCCGGAGGACCCAAGTGTCTTTGACAGGTAGTCCAGGTAGTCGTTTCTCGCGTCCTTTTGCCTCATGTGAGCTGCGTCGGTCATACCAGCCGCGGCTTCGCAGGGGATGTAGTGTTAGCGGCTGGGACATAGCAGGGACAGCAGGCGTTGTTGGGTGGAGTGGGACTGCTGTCCCTGGAGCCTGGAGGCTTCTGCTTAGGCTTTCGGACATCGTCCCATCATTCCAAAAAGGCCGCTTGTGTTGAGTGAGTGCGAGATTGTAGAGGTTGCGCAGTTATTTCACGTGACTGCGACTCTCTCTATCTCGCGCGAACGTCTTCTATATAGTTGTGTGTGCACAGCTGTCCAGCAGTCCGATCGTGTTTGTGTGGTTAGAGGTGGGCTGCTGTCGACAGCTTGTGCAGCCAGTTGATTTCATTTTCCCACCCGCCCGCCCTTAAAGGGTGGAGTGGGACTGCTGTCCCTGGAGCCTGGAGGCTTCTGCTTAGGCTTTCGGACATCGTCCCATCATTCCAAAAAGGCCGCTTGTGTTGAGTGAGTGCGAGATTGTAGAGGCTGGATTCATGCTGGATGATGCACCTGCCAAGGTCAAGCCGAGACAGAGGCACCCTGTTCAGAATGCTGTTGCAGATGATGGGGCTGAGCTTCCCGCGGCATCGGAGCATGCCGGCAGGGTCCCAGCCTCCAGGCGTGGCAGGGAGACCCATGCCAAGAGCTTTCGATGGGGAGCGGCTTTGGTAACATTCAAAAGTCCGCATTCCTATCAAGTGACGTGCCCTAGAATCTGCACACATCGTCATGCGAGCGGGGACTAGACGGGATGCAAGAAAACGAAAACTTTCCGTGCGGACGACAGCGAGAATGAAGCTTTGGTCATTCGCCAACTGAAGTTCTGGGTGAGTCAAGCAGCTCAGTTCTCATCCCGCACAGAGCACATGACACAGTGTTCGTTCCTTGAGCCGCCCGGGGATGAGGAGTTGGAGGCACTTAAGATTCCCAGCGACTACGAAACCGAAGACGAGGAATTGCGGCCAGTTGTCAAAAGGCGTAGAGTCCATGGCAAGCAGAAGGAAAAAGGTGCTGCAGCTCCAGCAGCGTCGGGTTCACGGCCATCAGCAAAGGCCAAGCCGAAAGGCAAGTCCAAATCGAAAGCGAAGGGCAAACGGCCCAAGCCACGGTGTGAGGAGGATGCAGATGCAGAAGCACCTGCTGTCGAGGAGGCTGCTGATTCTCATTCGTCTGATTCGGACTCGTCTTCGAGCGGCTCTTCGTCTTCGTCATCCAACAGTGGCAGCAGCAGGAACACGAGCAGTAGCGGTAGCAGCAGTGAGTAGCAGTGTTGCCGCACCTTTGTCCCTGTCCGCTCTGTGTGGACGCAACAGGCCGTGGCCTAAGCTCTTAGGGTGATTTGTCATTTTGTGCCAGCGAGAGAAAGTCCTGTAAACTTTAAAAGCCCGACACCCTGAAGCCCTGGAAGCAGAGTTCCTTAATAAGCCCAGGACAACGTAACCGCTCCCCCAAGCTAGATTCCCGAGGTCTTTGCGATGTGGCTCTTCGGCGTGGCAGGGCTACATCTGCTCAGGCCGATGGGAGTCCTTCTAGCGCCCAGACGAAGTCAGGATCTGTGTTTCAAGCCGTTGGGGTTCTGACTGACCTTGCCGCGATACAGCCCATAGACCATAGATCCTTCATCCCTATGCCCCCAACCCACGACCCGAAGATCTAACATTCGCCAGGTGCTCCGCTTGGCCGTGGGGGCTGCTGTGGCCTGCGCTTTCAGAGCACAGGCAGCTCGTCGCAACCTCCGTGACAACATTGATCCGGTATTTGCACATGTTTGCTCCCATCCAAGGAATAGGCGAGGTGCCCTGGGGTGTCAAGTGGTTTGAGTTCTATAAGGAGCATGGGCCTCCTTTGGGGTCGGGTAAGCCCTTGCTTCCGAGCCCGCTCTCTGGCGGAGGGTGGCAAACGTCGCCGCTGGCGGTGGCGAGTGCCACGAAATGGATGAAGTCACTCTTGATCCGTGCGGGTTGTGGCAGGTCTTCCGTTGAACCGCTTGGGACGCATAGTCTCAAGGCAACGACCTTGAGAGAGCGGCCCTAGGCTATCACGCCAGGGGCCGTGACGGGACCGAGCTCATCTATGGGAGAGACAACATGTCTGCTCCTGTGCATCAGCTGCAAGGGGTTCTGCTCGAAGTGTCGCGCGAAAGGTTCATGCCGGACGCCACCAGGTCCGGTTACTTCGTGAAGCGCTTTGAAGATCCAGAGGGGATGCCCATTCCTCCTGACGAGGTTTTGTCGGATTCTTCTTCCGAGGCCAGCGAGGATGCCGAGGATGTCGATCATGTAGCTGCGGAGGCGGCCACCGACGAGTTGGGAAGGCAATGGGAGCCCGATGCAGGCTTGCGTGCCGAGCTTGAAGCAGTCCCTTTGTTCAGGAACAGGGACAGTCGTTTCATTCATGCTGTCGCGTCCGAAGAAGGCGACAAGTTCAGATGTGGGAGAAACATCTCGACCAGGTATGAAAGGTTGTCCTCCGTCCCTCGAATTTTGTTTCCGCTGTGTAGAAGCTGTTGCCCACCTAAGAAGTGATGCTGAGGAGTGCAGTGAAAAGGAGCTTCTGAGTTTCTGGGCGTTACGCGCTTAGGCTGAGTGCTTCCAGGAGTGTGTGCGATTTGTAGTTTTCGAGTGACATGCATCAGTCAGAAGCAAGCATCGCGTTCATGAGGAGTCGGCTCAGTCTTAGGAAGTCTGTGCTTGAACCTGGTAAGTCAGAGTCCAGGCCACGAGGTGCGGATTCGGGAGTGCTCTGAGAACTTTCAGCTTGATTTGTAGGAGTATCACTAGCCCGGTTCCTGCTCCTGACGATGGCGAACTACTCTGAGAGTCAATCGGTTCTGCAGTCGCGATTGAGTGTCGTGGGTTTCGCGGAAGCTGACGTTCAGAAAATACTGCCAGAGGTGGGAAACTTGAGGAGGCTGGCTTTCATTTCTTCTTTCACACCTGGTCAGACTGACGAGGGGCCGTTGACGCAGGTGTTAAAAGACATTTTGAAGCGAGACCTGACAATTGCAGACAAGGCGAATTGGCGTGCGGTTTACAATGAGGCTTTTGCCATTGTGACCGCGGAAATGAAGCAGAGGATTGAGAAGGCCGACCCAGAGTCGACCGTCAGGCCTTTGTCTCAGCCTGAGAGGTCGGAGCGGTACGAGCGGCAGGCCAAGAAGCTTGTCGGGATATCACTTAAAGGGCCTCTGGAGCCTGCCGATGCACTTGTTGATCTTGCTGTGGCTTCCTATGAGGCAAATGAGCTGAGGTACATTCCGTGGGACCGGTGTGTGTCTAAGGAAGCTGAATTGGCTGGCGAGAAGAAACGTGATGTCAGGTTCACTGTTGAGGAGTCTTCGGGAAAGCTTCGGATCGAGCATAAACAGCCTGATCTGGTTGCGGATACCTCTTCAGAGATTCTTGTTCAGCACCTCTTCAGAGATTCTTGTTCAGCAGGCTCTCACCAGGAGAGCTTTGGCCATGGATCAGGCGAACCTGATCGAGTTCAGTGTTGCTGATCAGTGGACTCAACGCTTGATGAAGGCTCGCATGCAATCGCCTGCGGAGCATTTTGCCAGGCCCACTTGGAAGCAGCTTGAGTCGGCGGACCGGCAGCTGTTTGCCGAGCTACGTGACAAGACCAGGGCAGGTGTGCAGACTGTCGCATCGGGTCGCCCGTTGGACTCACTCCTGCCCGATGCGATGTACATGAACGAGGTGTCATGCCTATTGCAGCCTTTTCCGGCCCCTTCCATGAAGGACGCTCCCCAGAAGCCGGATGCTCCCAAGTGGGAGAGGCCTTCTCCTTACACCAAAGGTGGGGGCAAAGGAAAGAAAGGTGAGCAGAGGTTCATGACAAGGTTGCCCGCTGGCTTGGAAGGCTGCAGGTCCCACACTAATCGTGGGGACCCAATCTGCTTTGCCTTCTACCTGGGTGGCTGCTCGACGAAGGGGCAGATGTGTGAGAAAGGCTTGCACATCTGTGCAGTGCCTAAGTGCGGTTCTCATAACCATGGTGCAGCGCAGTGCCCAAAGCGGGCGCAGGGGGGCTCGTGACTATCGGGTCTCGAGGGTGCCTCGCTGATGGCCGGTGCTCCAGAGAGTGTGCATCAGCCGGCAGCGGATGCCTCGCAGGTGGATGATCTCCTAGAGGGAGTTCATCGGCCGAAAGATGCATGCACGGGTGGCTGTCCAACGAAAGGTGTGGATTGTCGCCCAACTGCGAGTGTTGATCGAGAGGATCATCACGATCACAACGTTGGCTCGTACAGTGCCATCGCTAGGCCCTCGCCGAGTGTGGTGGAGGCCGCACGCAGCAGGTCCCCGAAGCACCGTGATGGGGCGGGGCCACAGAGCGGCAAAGCGAGTTCTTCACTTGACGAGGGTCATGTGAGTGCTGCTGATGTCCTTCGAGTTTTCGATGGTCTTCCTTCAGATGACTTGAAAAGGGGTGCCAGTGCGCCTCTCCCAACTTCAAAGTCTTATGCCACAGGAGCGTATGTTCTTGGGGGCAATGTTGGTTTGAAGGCTAATGCCTCAACCAGCCCAGAAGCGCTCGACATCTTTGCAAGGTTTGTGAGGCAGAGCGTTCCGGGGTTCAAATTTTCTTCAATAAATATATTCGAGGATGTTCGCACTGAGCGTCACCGCGATCAGTGGAATGCAAATTTGCATAACCTGGCGATTGCCCTAACAGAATTCTCGGGTGGCGCCATCTTTGTGGAGCACGAAGATGGCCGGGATGTTTCGCCCCTCAATGGTGCCCAGGGTTCTCGCCTGGCTGTTGCAGCGGGCCCCGTGCGATTCAATGCAAGGCATTATTGGCACTACACTGAGGCTTGGCAAGGCCGGAGGGTCGTGCTGATACATACACAATCCGCCATGTTGAATCGCTGGGCAAGGAACATCTTGATTTTCTCCGGAGGTGCAATGTTGATGTTCCGACATGCGCGCCTGAGAGCGCGCGCCTGGCGCCTGCCCAGGTGTGTGGTCGTCAGCGGCCTTCCTCACCCTCTAATGGAGCTCAGGTGTCGCTTAGGCCTTTGCCCGCTTCGGTTGCGCCCACCGTTAGCCCTAAGGAACCTAATAGCGGCCCTGGTAGTCCTTTAAAGCCTGGTTCTGCTCTCTATGTTGAAATAAAGTGTGGTTCCGGTTTGCTAGCTGCTCGTGTGCGGCGAGATGGATTCCAAGTCATGGCGCTTGAACACTCGCGCCCTGCTGGGAGGGTGCACATCCACCTGGTCCCGGTGGACATCGAAACTGAATCGGGTTTCTCCTTTGCGCAGACTGTCATTGGCCAAGACGCCCCTTTTCATGTGCATTTCTTCCCGGCGACTAAGGACTGTTTTAAGGCCTCTTTCGACGCAGTGCAAACCCTTCGCCTCGCCAAGCTTTTGCTCGCGTCTGACTTGCATTGGAGTATCTTGCATCCCCTGGCGTCGGCCCTGTGGGGCCAGCTGGACTTGCCCGATGCGGTGCACTGCCTCGAATTTTGTGCCGGCTGCTACGGGGCTCCCAGCCCGGTAAAGATGCGCATGTGTACAACCCAGCCCGCGCTGGCAGGCATGCCCATACCAGTGTGCCGCTGTCGCCAAATGCCCCATGTTGCGGGCTCGCTTGCGCCAGATTCCTTGTACACACCGAAATTCTGTGATGTTTTCGCTGGCCTCTTGCAGCTGTCGGTAGGCCATGCCGGCCTCTTACTTGAACACGCTGTTCCGCTGCAATGCTCGCGTCATTCTGCAGCCGCTGCCGCGGGGCGACAGCCTCGATTGTCAAAATTCCAGCCACAGATCGCCGAATTTAAGTGCCAAGCCACGGTCCGTGAATTCCCGTGGCCTCTCCCTTTGGATGATAAAGGCAATCTTAAATGTGCCATAGGGTCAATCCCTCCTGGCTCCCGCCTTCTTCGCATTGTGTGTGATCGGGGGGTTGTCGGTGCGAAGCAGGTCGGAAGCCTGTCAGGTGTGCCTTCGTCAGTTACTTTTGGCATCTACCGCACAGAACATGAGTTTGTGGCGCAGGCTTTGCATATCGATCATCCCTTCGACTTGTGCGTGGCAGTCCCGGACTTCATGCTGAGAGCCTTGGCTTTTACCTTGAAAGAGGGTCCGGTTGGCGTGATGAAACACCGTCTGAATCTGCTCCAGCAGTGGACTTCTTGGAAGCGTGAGCTGTCAAGTGCCGAAGCCGAGCTTCATGCTGCCATGGATCCTGGTGTGGCATCTGTGATGAAAGGCAAGAATATTTTGCTTCTGGAAAAGATCGCATCAACTTTCGGTTGGCCTGGCACGGAAGTGTTTGATCACCTTAAGCATGGTTTTCCTTTGGTCGGGGAGTCGAGCCCTTCCGGCATTTTCGATGTAGATAGAAAGCCGGCTCTGATGACGCGTGCAGAGCTTGTGCAGCATGCCAAGTTTCTTATAAGCCGGCGCTGTGGGCGAAGGTGGCGAGCGCAGAGGTGGATGATCTGGCTCGGGAGGTGTGGGATTCCACACAACAAGAGATGCTAGTCAAGGAGTGGCTGACGGGGCCTTACTCGTGGGACGAGCTGCAAGCCCGTCACCCCGAAGGATGGCTTCCAGTGCGGAGGTTCGGCATTGTGCAAAAGGCCAAGACGCGATCGATCGATGACTTGGCCGAGAACTCGGTCAACCGCGCTTATGCTGTCTCCGACCGGATTGCTCTGAGAGCCCTTGATGAACTGGTGTGGCTTGCGATCACTCTTTTCAAAATCTTCATGGCGAAAGGCGAGGTGAGCATTCCTTTGTCGGACGGTGAACATCTTCGCTTTCCTGTGCATTCCTTCTGGAGAGCCCTGAAGCCCGAGGCGCTTCAGCCGAGCTTGAAAACAGTGGATTTGAAAAGTGCTTATATATAAACAGTTGGCGGTCTCGCCACGAGATCGTTGTCTGAGCATAGTGACCATCAAGGACCCGGTTTCGGGCCTTCCCTTCGGCTTCGAGAGCCGAACTCTTTTGTTTGGAGCCACCTCGTCGGTGGTTTCGTTCAACCGCGTTGCAAGGTTGATCCAGAGGGTTCTGATCACGTTGCAGGTGCTGGCCTGCAACTACTTTGATGATTACCCAGTGTTGGAGGTCTTGCCACTTTGCAACAACACGCAGTCGACCATCAAAGCTGCTTTGGATCTGCTGGGCTTCTCATGGGCAGAGGACAAGGACCTTCCTTTCAGCCATGAAGCCGAGCTGCTGGGCGTTAGGGTTGACCTAGGCACTTTCGGGGTAGTTAAGATTGGGAACAAGCCTGATCGCGCTGCTTCCATTGCCGCCGCGGTGGACTCCGTCTTGAGCGAGGGCCGTCTTGATCCGAAGACCCTGCCTTCTTTGTTCGGTCGCATCCAGTTTGCTGAAGGTCAGTTGCACGGGAGGCTGGGAAGATTAGCCCTGGCCGACCTCAGAGCGTGCACGATGAGCTCTCAGGCTCAGGCCCTCGATGCCACAGCTGTGCAGGCCCTTCGCCATCTTAGGACCCGGGTTCTTGGGGGTACCCCTAGGATAGTCCCGGCCTGTGTGGGGTCTCGCCGTTCTGTGATTTTCACGGATGGCGCTTACGAGCCGACGAATGGTTCTTACCCTGCTACTGTCGGAGGGGTCTTGTACCATTACGACAGAGGAGCGTGGTGCACTTCCTACTTTGCATGTGCTATCCCTTTGAGCGTTGTACAGAGCTGGGAGGCTCTCGGGAAAAGGCATTTGATAGGCCCAGTTGAGATGTACGCAGTTGTATGTGCGAGAGAAGCTTGGTCAAAGCACTTGAACATGCAAAGGGTGACCATGTATGTGGATCACTCCGGAGTGTTGGCCTCCTTGGTGAAAGGCTCTTCTAAAGACCCTTTATGGAGGCAGCTCTTGCTGATCTTTGAGAGTTGCGACGCTGAGGCGATGCTCCCTTGGTTTAGCCGCGTTCCAAGTGCAAGCAATCCGGCCGATCCTCCTTCACGTGCCAAGGCGATCTTTCCAGTCAGGGGGCAAGTGTGCAGAGTGTCGCCTCGATGTCCGATCAATGGCAATGCCACGATTGATCTCCTTCTTAAGTGAATGGGGTGTTCGTTGGCGATCCTCGTGTTCGCCATCGATCGGTGCGGGGATGTCACGACTTCCCCCTTCGGCTTTGCCGGAAGGAAAAGAGCGACTTCTGCCTGAGCAATTTTCTTATTGTTTATATATACTTTGATTTTCCCATATAGCTTGGGAATACTGTGAGTGGAATCGTCTATTGAAATAAAGCAAAGCTCCGTGGGAAATAAGCGACACATGAGGCTTGCCTCTATCAGCTTTATTTTCCTAGGAGAGTTTTGAAAATTCTTGCGAAGTTTTCAAAACGTTTTTGCTTTATTTTCGAACCACATATCATGGCATGAAAGCATGCTTTGAATCGTCCGAGTTGATATCTTTAATTTCCCGCGCCGCCTCGAGACAGGGGTGGGATGGGTGGGTAGCTACTCCCTGGCCAAAGGGCCGGAAATTTTTTTGCCCCTCCCTCCACTCCCGGGGTGTTCGTTGGCGATCCTCGTGTTCGCCATCGATCGGTGCGGGGATGTCACGACTTCCCCCTTCGGCTTTGCCGGAAGGAAAAGAGCGACTTCTGCCTGAGCAATTTTCTTATTGTTTATATATACTTTGATTTTCCCATATAGCTTGGGAATACTGTGAGTGGAATCGTCTATTGAAATAAAGCAAAGCTCCGTGGGAAATAAACTATTCGTGGTTACCTCAAGAAGCTTCGCGACGGCCAGCTCGAGGTCATGTTCATCTGGACGCCGTCGCATGACAAAAAGCTTGGGTGGACCCCGCCGCTTGGGCTTTCGGCCGCTCGGCTCAGGGCCCTCAACGAGGCGGCGGACAAGGCGGCTGCAGCTTCCATAAAACAGCGGTGGAGTGGCTCCAGAAGGCATGCGCATGCCCAGGGAGCTCGCAATGCACAACTTTGGGAATGTCAGGCTTTGCGGTCTACGGCTAGGATCGGCAAGGCGTACGACTCCAATATATTGTTCAGAATTGTTCAGCGATCACCGCTGGATGCTGTGGCGGACGGGGGCGATGCGCCCGGGACGTGATATCCGATGGAAAAACCTGCCACAGGGGGCAGGTCCTGCCGACACCATGAGCGCCTTGGTTGTTCCTGTTGTTTTCTGTTCTTGGCTGCCAGGTTGGTGTGTTGCCTTGTTCATGTTCTCTTCCTTTACCAATGTGGTAAAACCTCTGCGCGTGCCGAGTGCTAGTGACAGTGACAGTCCAGGCTTAGGTGCATAAGAATCCGACGTGCTCGAGTCACTTGTGTTCTGGTTCGTGATTCTCCAGTGAGGACCTGGAACCCTCGTCTCGGAAGGCTTCTCGGAGATGCGTGTTCTTATCCTTTTTGTTTGCTTGGGAGCCGCGCCCGCGGCGCTGCTTCCCTTCGGTGTGCTCGCAAATCGGGACCTGCAGTGCAAGACAACTCTGCAAGTTGCTATCTGCCAGCGCAGGTATCGTGGGCGACCAGGTTCCTGCGCAATATCCGTCTGTTGACTTGCATGTCCCAGAGGTCCGATCGGCGCCGGCATGGCGTTTACATGTGAGGCCCCTGATGTTCAAATCTAGATTTTTCTGTGTGTCAGCCGATTGACAATGAGCTGACGGGCAAGTTTGCGAATGAGAAGCTCGCTGAGGAGGTAGTTGACAAGAAGCGACTTTGTTTTCTTCCTGCAGTTGGCTTGGCGTGTGGTTGTGCTGGTTCTTGCCAGGCCAGTGACCTCGCGCAAGTGAAAGCAAAACTCGCAGCCTACCGCAAACTCGTTCTCGACACGTCCAAGAAACTAAGAACCGATTTTGAATCGGTCGCAAGCACGGCGCGCGGCCGTATGCGCAAACCTGGCTTCCTGTCATCGAGAGTCATGCCAGTTGATGGTTTCAAGATCAGAAACTCCTTGTTCTTAACGGTGCGATCGTTTTGCATGCAGGCAGATGTAGTAGGCTGCGCAGACTTTCTGAAACCGTTCCGCTTGTCAGCAACTGATGCGTTCCCCGGCACAAGCATCGATCAACGTTGTTGAAAATGAAGGCTGGGCAACGGCCGAGAAGTATGTATGCAGTTAATTCCCTGACATGTCTGTTGGCTTTGGCTATAGATGTCGCGGGCATGAAAGCAGAAGCGAAGTATGAAGGGATAAAGGTCGGTGAATGTCGTCACTCTGCTGACATCTTGCTAGTTGCAAGAGGAGTGTGAGTGCTGCAATTTGTTAGGACCGGTTGGAGCGCATGAGGCTGAGTCTCGCAGCAAGGCGAGGAAGTGAAGGGTGTCAAGCTGTGCCACGCCGCAGTGAGATTCTGGCCAGGTTGTCAGCCCTTGCTCGATGAGCCACGCGTGCCAGCCGAGTTTCGCGGGGAGCATGATCGTATTGTGCCGGATGAGATCAATGTCTCAGAATGAAGGCAGCATGCGTCGTTCCGTGCAAACTGTCACTGGCCTCGTACTGTGACATGAATTATTTCCCTCATGTGCTTAGTACTGTTTTGTGCTTCGGGCAGGCTTGGTGAACAGTGTTCGTTCTTGCACCGCGTCAGTCGTTTGAATGTTGTTTCTCATGTTGCTTGCTCACAAGCCAAAATGGCCGTCAAGTCTTGTCCCCCGTGTGTGGGGTGTGCCCAGAGTCACAGTGCGTGCTGAGTGTGCATTTGTCGTGGTTGTCCTTGCTCGCTTATTGCAGTTGCAGTTGGGCGAAGCTTTCTCCCGCCCTCCCTCCCTTCTAACCGTTGACAGGATCGGGTCGCTCTGTACGTATGCCGTTGATAAATCAATAGGTTTTTATAGGTTTCGGGCAGGGATTGTGTGACCGGTCGTGAGTCAGCTTTGCTACCATCTTTCCAGATGAGCCGTGTCGGGTGTACCGGCTGTGGTTGGGCTGGGCAGTACACCCGTCTCTCTTGCACATGTAGCTTGTGCATTACTCACGCAACTTGTGCATGCAAGTTGGGTTCAGCTTTGCAAGTGCATTGCACTTGTTGTGCGATCACCCAAGTTTGGGCCAAAATTTTGAAGCCCCGCCCGCCCCCCCGGATTGAAGGACACTGCTGCCCAGCATCTTCGCAAAGCCCAAACAAGGTTGTTGAATTCTTCCTCGTCCCGCTGTAACATACAGGTTCGAGGTGGGTGGGAGGGAGCATGTCCCATAGCATGCCTTGCAGAAGGTTGCGATCGCGAGAACTACTTGTCTGCCAAGGAGCATGCGCTTGAGGTCCAGCAGCAATTCCTCGCGGAAGCCGAAGAGGAGGTCATGGTCGAAGTCCCCTTATCAGAAGCCGTTGCCTCGTACAGACCAAAGCTGTCTGTTGCATCGCTGGGAGCTATAGAGAGGAAAGATGGTTCATACCGTGCGGCCCACGATGGAACACACGGTGTCAACGTCAACGTCAATGCCAAAATCAAGCTGCGCGACCAGTTACGCAACCCGACGGCCGGCGACCTGTGTACTGTCCTCAAGTACATGCCGCGTGCCGCGTTCGGATTGACGAGCGATATCAAGCGGGCGCATCGTCTCGCCAAAGGTAGCCGAACAAGGCTGGGGCCACCAGTCTTGTCGCTCCGGCTGGATCTGGCTGAACAAGGTTGGGACGTTTGGAATTGCAGTGCAGCGTATCATTGGAGCAGATTGATGGGCGGCCTGGGCCGGCTCGTGTACTACATGTGGGGAAAGGCGGCCGTCTAACAGCTTATCTTTGTCGACGATTTGCTATGGTTGGCAAGGCAGAAAGGTGGGGTCACAAAGATCATCCTTGCCGTCTTCATCTATGTGCTTCTGGGTGTGCCATTTGCTTGGAAGAAGTTCGTAGGAGGATCTGAGTTCACCTGGGTTGGCTTTTCCTTGAACCTCCGCATTGGTGCATTGGGCTTGTCTGAGTCACGAGCTGCATGGGCCATTAACTGGTTGGAGTCTACAGCAATGCAAGGCTTGGTGCGTGTGGCGGACATGCGAGCCGCTCTGGGTAGGTTGTCTTTTGCGTTGTCTGCGCTTGGGCACTCACGGCCTTTTCTGGGGCCCATGTATGCATGGGTCGCAGTGTTGCACAACTGCCGCCGGTACCAGGTGCCCAAAGCGATCGTTCTGATCATGCAGTACTTAGCCAAAGCTCTGAAAGGGCTTGGAAGGCTGACACCTGTCGGAACACCAGTGGCTTGCGAGAAGGAGCTCTTCCGGACCGATGCCAAGGCAGAAGTATGCCGTTGATAAATCAATAGCTCTTTATAGGTTTCGGGCAGGGATTGTGTGACCGGTCGTGAGTCAGCTTTGCTACTGTCTTTCCAGATGAGCCGTTGTTAAATTCCTCCTCGTCCCGCCGTAACATGCAGGTTCGAGGTGGGTGGGAGGGAGCACATCCCATAGCATTGCTTGCAGCTGTTGCAAGCTTGTAGTTTTTGTCCCACCCGCCCGCCCTGGGTGAGGAATCTTTAATGCCGGGAGCCAGTGGTCCTATGGGACGAGTCCTATAGGACATGTTGTCTGCTCCTTCGGCAGTCTGCTTGAGATTCAACCCCTGAGACGGATACGTCCGCGTGAAAAAGAAATGCCTGGCCGCCTGCAGTGCAGTGCACGTTTTGCATTTAGCATGTTTCTTGTTAGTGCCGCATGTGTGCCTGAGCTTGGACGTTCGCTCATTCGTTTGTATCAGTGTTTGCTGCGAGCGACCCCGAAACCTATAAGTATGCCGTTGCCGTTGATAAATCAATAGCTCTTTATAGGTTTCGGGCAGGGATTGTGTGACCGGTCGTGAGTCAGCTTTGCTACCGTCTTTCCAGATGAGCCGTTGTTAAATTCCTCCTCGTCCCGCCGTAACATGCAGGTTCGAGGTGGGTGGGAGGGAGCACATCCCATAGCATTGCTTGCAGCTGTTGCAAGCTTGTAGTTTTTGTCCCGCCCGCCCGCCCTGGGTGAGGAATCTTTAATGCCGGGAGCCAGTGGTCCTATGGGACGAGTCCTATGGGACATGTTGTCTGCTCCTTCGGCAGTCTGCTTGAGATTCAACCCCTGAGACGGATACGTCCGCGTGAAAAAGAGCTGCCTGGCCGCCTGCAGTGCAGTGCACGTTTTGCATTTAGCATGTTTCTTGTTAGTGCCGCATGTGTGCCTGAGCTTGGACATTCGCTCATTCGTTTGTATCAGTGTTTGCTGCGAGCGACCCCGAAACCTATAAGGTGATGAAGTTTGGATAGGGGGTTGGGCAATTGACCATGATGATACGAAGAAATGTCGATCGTTTGCCGAGCGCCTCAATCACATGAATGCACCTTGGCTGTACACCGCTGGGGAATCTTACAGGCAGATAGCGTCGCTAGAATCCGCTAGAACTCTTGGCTACTCTGGCAGCAGTGGTGGTCTTCGATGTGCCAAAGGCAAGCAAGTGCAGCTTCCGCTGTTCAGCAGCAACTGACAACAAGGGAAACAGCCATGTGGTAAGTAGACTTCTTACTACCAAGTTCCCGCTGAATGCCTTTTTGATGGAGCTGGCCATTCAGCTGCAGAAGCGGGGGGCAGATTTGTATCTCTTTTGGTTACCACGCCTGCAGAACATCGAAGCGGATGCATTGACGAATGAGGATACTGCATTGTTCGATCCCAGCTTGTGTTTGCGGTTTGATTTGTCGTCATTCACAGGTGTGCTGCTGCACGAGTTCCTGGTAGCTGGCACGCAGCTCTACCAAGAGGTGAAGAAGGCAAAGGCCGCAAGAAGCTGTGTCAAGGACCAAAAGGTTGCCAGAGGTGACACACTCCGAGTGCGGGATCCGTGGTGATTCGGAATACTCGTAGCTGGCTCTGTGTCGAGCTCGCAATCGATGAAGTAGGGGTTGAGGTCTTCGTTGCGACCTTGTATCAGGGCCAGCTAAATGACAGGGCCGGATGTTGCCTTGCCTAGCTCTACATGGACAGGCTGCTCCCGCTTCCGTTTTGGAGACGTGCTGCAGACCTGTGGAACAGATGCGTGCAGCTAGGGCAAGTGCCCACGCAGTGGTCTTGTGCCACCACGGTGCTGATTCCCAAACCTAAGGGTGGTAGTCGTCCGTTGACTTTGTGCCAAGTGTTGTGGCGTGCTGGCGCCAGTGTGTTACAGCGCCGTCTGAGGCCGTGGATTAGCGAGTGGCAATCGGGCCATGATGCCGGGGGCCTTCCTGGAGCCTCTGTTGAGGCTGCACTTGCCCAAGTCCAGGCTGCCTTTCGCAATAAGTCTAAGGGCTTTGTCCAACTTGACGTTAAAGCCTTCTTCGATTCTATCCAATGGGATTCTTTAAGTGCTGTTCTTCAACACCTTCGGTTTCCCTTGGAGTTGCTCAAGTTGCTGCTGACTTTCTACAAGCAGTCCTGCCGGACCTTTGTGTGTGAGGGGGCCTACGACTGTCAACGGTTTGTGCCCAGCCAGGGCATTCCGCAAGGCTGCCCCTTCAGCCCGTGCCTCGCTGCTGCAATTGCTCACGTGTGGTGTAAGTACGTTCTCCATGGGGCCCATCAGCATGTTTCGGGACTCAACTACATGGACGACCGCTTGCTGTTCCTTCGAGCCCGTGCTCCTGTTCAGGCCCTGGACGCAGTGCTATGCCGGTCTGCCGAGTTCGATGAGTGTTTCAACTTCAAGCTTTCGCTTGAGAAGTGTGCGGTCTACCCAAGTGAGGCGACTGAGGAGTGGGCTGCCCTTGCTGACAAACACTCCTTCAGCGTCAGTGATCATCTTGAGATACTGGGTGTTTCTTGCACCTTCGGAGGAGCTTGGTCTTTGCTCAAGTTTGTGCTTCGCCGAGCAGTGCTTCGCCTTCGATTGCTCCGCTGGTGCTCTCGTTCTGTTCGCGATCGCAAGCATATCGTGCAGAGCTTGGTTGTTCCCATGGTTTCCTGGACTTCGGCCTATGCGGCTCCGTCGGATGACGAGCTGAATGCCCTGGAAACCGAACTCCTGCACCTCTTCGATGATCGTTTCGGCGTCGATCGTGCGAAAGTCTTGGTGTGGGAGCAGCTGGGTTGGAAGCTCCATCCGCAGATGATGCTGTGCCGTAGTGCCTTTCGCACGTTGGCTCGCTTTTTGGCAGCGCCTCCCAACTGGGTGGAGACAGTTCCTCTAACTGAAGCCTGTCCTCCTTGGAATGAGCTCCTGCCGGAGATTCCTCGCTGGCTCCAGATCCTGAAGTGGACATACGAGCCCGAAGCTGGCGCAGTGGTGCGGCGCGACTGCTCCGGGCGACGCCGTTGTCTCCGCTTAGGGCATGACAGTTTTCGCGAGGTTGGTCGTTGGCTGAGTGCTCACTTTAGGGCCTTGTGTGTTGACAAGTGTGGCAGGTTGTGGCGCTCCTTCCACAGGAGCGACGACGAGCAGTGTGCTCCGTAATGGTGTGTACCTTTTCAGAGGGCACGGCGTTGCTGCGTCTGAGACTGGTGGCCGAGCCCAACACCTTGCTAGCTTCGGTTCTGGGGGCTCGTGTTGGCATTTCAATGCCGGAGGTGCCTTTCCTGCTGATCATCTACGCTGGCTCTGCCTTTGTGGTGAGTCCAGGCCTTCGAGGCCGCACCTCACGTGGGCCTGCCCTGTGACGCAAGACCTGCGCGTGGGGCATGAGTTGCCAGTAAATCGCGCCGAAGAGCGCCTCTTTGCGAAGGAGGTGGGGGACTTCCCGCCGCCGACTCCTGCTCTTGATCTCAGCGACTTCCTCCAGGAGCTGTCGGAAGGTGCTTCTGAGTCGCTCAAAGCCGATGGGCTTCTGTACGCTGCCACGGATGGCAGTGCTCGCAACGACATTGCTGCGTCAGCCATTGTCTTCGGGCAGCATGTGACTGAGCACAGCAGCTTTGCAGCAGGGACGGGTGATGAGGACCAGTCTGCTTTCAAAGCTGAGATGCAAGCTTTGCTTTGGCTTGCTACTGTCTGCTGTGAAGTTTCTGGTAAGCTCTCCATGCAACTCGAACTTTTCGTTGTATCTGACTGCCTTGCGGCGATTTCTGCTTGTCAATCTGGCCACTCTTCTGATTTGCCAGGTCTGGCTCGTGCTGCCTTTGACCTTTACGCGCAGTCGGCCCGCCAGGGCCTCACGTGTACATTCTTGTGGGTCCCGTCTCATGGGAAACAGCTGAAGTGGGCGCTGCCTGAGCCTCACTCTGCTGCGACTCTTCGTGCTCTCAACGAGTCGGCGGATGTGGCTGCTAGACGCTGCATGGAACGCAGAATGCAGGGTTCGTTGCGGGCCCGGTGGCATGCAAGAGTTGAGGAGGTGACCGCCTGGGAGGTCAAAACTGTCAGAATCGCCGCGGCTGCGGCTGAAAGACTTTCGTGCCACCTTCGCAGCATTGCTTTGAAGCCAGGTGAGCGGCCACTTGGACTTGCTTAGCCACCTCTTAGTGTTAGTGTAGGCCTTGCCCTGGGTTCACGTGTACTGTTGCTGTCAAGGGGCTTCTCAGTGCTGGCTGATTTTTCTGCTTGATGTGCACAGGCCTTGTACATTACACTCTCAACTTGTGTGCAAGTTAAGTCAGCTTTGCAAGTGCATTGCACGTGTTGTGCGATCACCCAAGTTCGTTCCACTGTGGGTGCTGGGCCACTTTTGAAGCCCCGCCCGCCCGCCCGGATTGAAGGATACTGCTGACCAGCATTTTCGCAAACCCAAAACAATGTGTGCTTGCAGCTTGCGTTTTGGCTAGTTCTTAGATGTATCTAGGTTGGCTACATAAGAGCATGAGTGGTTAGGTGCTGGTTAGGGTTGTTGGGCTCTGGTTCGGGTTCCGTGGCGCAGTAGGATTCCCAACCCTTTCTGCTTGTGTGCGTGAAGGTGGGCCGGTCTGCCCGGTGCGCGCCCCGAAAATTTCTCAAACCACGGGGCGCGCCCAGGTTCTTGCAAATAGGTTGGTTTCGTGTAGAGGCTGGATACCTGCGGTGCTGTCTGGTAGGGTGTTGGCTCGCTAGGGCGTGTGCCAGAATGTGACATGCATGTGCCGGCTTGAACCGTGCCTGGGGTTGCCAGTGCAGGAGCAGGAAAGGTTTGCTCAGCCAGATTGTGGAAGACGACGCTCTAGGCAGCCTGTTGGATCAATGGCTGCAATGGCTGTGTGCCGCGTGGCGGTGATTGCTGTGAGTGTTCTCTTGCACACCGCGCTTGCGAACGATACCGATGCCGTGGCCACCTTGCCGGCCGCCTGCCTTCCAGTGCAGCCGTGATGTTCGCCGAAGCTTGTGGCTTCAATGTCCGATGTGGTCA